CATGCACCACACCCCACACACCATACACCGTACACCCTACCTGCCAGCATGTATGCCCAGGGACTGAGCCACAGCTCTCTGCACTGAGGCAATGTTCTGCGTGGAGCTGAATACGTCCATACCATCCTCAAGCGGCACGCACAGTGCAGACTAAAAGCAACAAGAGAAACACACACACACACACAAACACACACACACACAAACACACACACACACACACACACACACAAACACACACACACACACACACACACACACATTGGCATACAAACATGCACACATGTTCCCCAGGCAGCCACTAAACAGCAAATCCCTAAGAGAAAATCTTAAAGAAAGCTGGCAGAATACAAACAACGATTGCAACATACTGCTCGCATTTTCAAAGAAGTCTACACCTGCCTGTGAAACTAGAACATTGCAGTACATTGCAAGGGTGACCTAACCCGTTACGCACCGGCACACACACACACAGGCACACGCACACACACACACACACACACACACACACACACACACACACACACACACACACACGTGCACACACACACACACACACACACATACACGTACACACACACACGTACACACACACACACACACACACAATTAGCAAGCACATGTACCTGTGTCTCCATGTGAAAGTGGTACTGAGAGCCGCACGACACCTGGCCTTCAATGCGACGCTTGGAAGCAGCCATTGCAGCTGCAGCAGTCGACGTGCACGTTGAGCAACAGCAGAAAGTACATGTATTGGAACACGCACACAACATGATCACATGGTCACAGCAGTATAATTATAATACCATGTCACTGTAGTGCTCCTGTGAAGCTACTGCTGTCATCATTATTCATACATGTACATGTACATGTATCAACAGGTAATCTTCAACAAAGCACGGGTAACGGACCACGCATCATATACAGACGGAGAAGTCAGGGGGGGGGGGGGGCATGTTATAGGAACAATAGCATGCGTCTGAGGCAACAGCGAGGTGCACAACGACACACAGAAAACGTACTCCAGTCTGGTATAGCAACACAGCAGAAGAACCCAGCATAGCAGCAACACCTAACGGCATAACTATAATTACCATCAGCATTTCCAACGACCAGGGCTGATGGGGCTCCAGTGTGAAACGAGCCAGCAGCGATTGCGTCTTTCATACTGGTGATCGATTTACCAGTGCTCGTGTACTTGCCAACTACTGCACGGGCTGCACGCTCGGCATTGTACTCAGAGTCTACAGCAAAACACACACACACACGTACACACACAGACACAGACACAGACACACACACACACGCATGAGCAGGCATGCATAAACACGTTGACTAAACGTCGCCTGGTGCAGAACTACTTCAGCAATGTACTTTACCTGCATGTCATGCACTGTACACACTCAAGTATCCATACAATGCCATGTAAACACACATCTACAAATCAACACACCAGCACACCAGCACGCACGCATGCATACAAGCAGACACGCATACGGATATGACTATGTGTATTCATTCATTTCATGTACACACACACACATTCTCTCAGTGTCACTTACCGGCTATGACCATGCCGATGGCTTGGCCTACATACTGCACTTCTGAATCAACAAATACCTGCACACGATCACATGCACACAGGCACAAACATGAACATACGCACACCCACAAAACCCACCCCACAAACACACAAACATAAACACACACAAACATGCCTCCCTCCCCCCCCCCCCCACACACACACAAACATGCCTCCCTCCCCCCCCCCCCCCCCACACACACAAACATGAACACACATACGTGCACACACACACACACACACACACACACGCCCGACATGTTTTTTTTCAGCAACGGCAACTACAAATAAAAGCTACAACTGAATGAGCTAAATGGCTGGGCAGAACACAACATACATGTACTCGTTCAACACTCATTGCCCACGTCACACCACACACCGATGACATGGAAAATGACATACCTCTTCGTTAGCACGGGTAAAGGAATTGCGACCAGGGATGGCCTCAGCGGAGATAAATCGCACAACACCTGGCATTGACTGTGCGTTGAAAAAAAAAGCAAGCATACGGATACAGTACATGTTTACATATTCGTTGCTACGATATCATAATCATGGAAAACATGGTTGATAGGATGACATACTTCCCTTGGCTTGTTCTCTGGCGTTCAAGGATTTGAAGGACAGGGTACTCGTTTTTAAACCATTCCTAACCTGCTGAAAATGTTCTCTTGGATGGTTTGTCACACAGCAGCACAGTCCTTGACTCCCAGGTCACATCAAGTGTGTGAAAAGGATTCCAGGAGATGTCAACATACGCTCCTGCATGCATGTTACACCTCATTCAGTCACCAGTACAAGCTGGCAGGACTGCACTGCACTGCACCTAACCACACCATCAACGCTATATGTATGATCACATCAGACAGGATCACTGGAAGCAGTTTTCGATTGGTCCGGCCATACAATATAGTCTTTCATACAGTTTGTGTGCGGTATGGCGGGAGCACACGCCCTCCTCAGCAGTAAACATACGTTGGTGGCCACACAGCTGGTCCGGTGACGACCTGATCAATCAGACCGGTTTCCGGTGGGCCTGTTAGAGTACATCTACTGTACAGTAGAACCTGTCAAGGCAGCGACCACTCGGATAAGGCAACCACCTGTCCCAGAAGACCACCTGTCCCAGAACCAAGGGATGCTATTTCCAGTCAAATGACACTGGATAAGGAGACAACCTGGTTACGGAGACCACACTTTCAAAGTCCCTTGAGCGGTCGTCTTAGACAGCTGTTTCACTGTACTGTAACTTACCTCAGCTACTGAACTGTCGATTGAGTCGAGCTTGGCAGGAGCCTGGCGTTCAAAAAGCACACGATACAGCACGAAATGAGGGGCATGCGCATGGGGAGAAACGAAATGAAGACAGACCACCCATACCATACCACTGTTCAACTAAGGCACAGCTTTCAGAACTCAGTTCCTATACGAAGAAAGGTCAGCCCAGCAATGCGGGGGGGGGGTAGGCTAACATGTGGATGTGTACTTGCACCAGAGCCCGGGGCAGCACAAACTTACTGTGAGCCTTGTGCAAAGCTTGGTTCTGCTCGCACAGGAAAACGCCATTGGGTGGCTTTCACTGTTGTAAAATTTTGCTTAAAAGGCGCACTTTCAATGGTAAGGTACAAAACGATAATCGTACTTGTACTGGTATAATGATGGTGAAAGTAGAGCACAAGGACTCACCAACCTACCTCTGTAGCCAGTACAAACTTTCCATACAGTTGCCCTGGCAGTATGGGTAGGTCAGATATGTACACAGCCTCACCAGTGGCCTGGCATAATAACAAAAGAATGCATACACATACACACATGCACGCATGCATGCACGTACACACACACACACACACACACACACACTTGTACTTGTTGCTCACTGCCAAAACTGGTCACGTGGGTCTCCCCGGGAGAGGGCCCAGGGGAGAGAGACTCAAAAGGAATCTTGGAAAGATGACTCAACTGGCTATTGAACCGCCCAACGGCCGACACCCCCTGAAATCCCCAAAACTCTGGGTGGACTTGAAAATGATCCCACTTATGGGCTCACCACACCTCAGTAAGTGGGTGAGGACAAGGTGCAGAAAAAGGATTGACGGCATCAGGGTATCCGTCCCGGGATCCAACTGCAGTTACCCCTGCCCCCAGTGAAGGTAATACTTGCTACTAGTGTGGGTGGCTAAATCAGAGTGGATCTGATCTAAGCGTCACTAGCATCATTGATTACACAAGAGTTAATCTAGCCAGAAGCAGTCCATGGTTAACAGGTATGTATACTTCAAATAGAAAGTATATGAACCCTGGAACCAACAAAGGTGGCAGGTACAACATTACACCTTCCTATTGGCAACAGACCCAACACAATCAGGCACACACACACACACACACACACACACACACACACACACACACACACACACACACACACACAAGCACACACAAGCACACACAAGCACACACAAGCACACACAAGCACACACAAGCACGCACAAGCACACACAAGCACACACAAGCACACACAAGCACACACAAGCACACACAAGCACGCACAAGCACACACAAGCACACACAAGCACACACAAGCACGTGTGGATACACGCATACTACATGTGCATGTATTTCTTGTTGTGTGACTGTGTGCTCCCATGACTCTACTTTGGTGAATTTAAACGTTTTATTCCCAACCCAGGAGTGGAAACACTGGAATGGTGGCCAATGATGTAGCCGGAGTCTGTTCGCCTACAGCAAGATTTTGCTATAAGGGCAGTGTTTTAAAGAGCTTGAGCAGAAGGCAGTGTAGCAGTAATAACGATGAAGTTTTTTTGCCATGAAACTTTGAGTAACAACGAAACAGCCATATTTTACTTAATTTGTGTACCTCTTGCGAAGTATATACTTATAGTCTCGCCTTTTAGCAGTAATAACAATGCAGTCTATAGTCTCATCTTGTAGCAGTACATGTAATAACAATGCAGTCTATAGTCTCTCACCTGGGCTCTGATTTCCAGTTTCTGCACACTCTCGGTCATCGGATAGTCAGCGGGAACGGAGTCGAATGACTGGGTGCCAGATGATGTGCCCGTGCGGATCGGTGACAATGCGGAGATATTGCGTGGAGAGGCATGCTTGCCAGCTGCTTGAATGAAAAACTGTGAAAAACAGTGAGACGACATGGAAATTGGAGAATTACAACCAAGATCATGTATCATGTGCGAGCTGCAGTACTTGAACCAGAATAAAGCATGTGCATGTATACAGCAACAGAGACTAAGGACATAATTATCTGTCGTCTCCGTGTATCCTCAGGCTGCGTAGAGTGCATAGTGTTCAGTTGTTCAGTGAACAGAGCTAGCAATACAAGAGGGGAGCACGGCAATGGTAGGAGCAAGTTTTCTTTGCTGCTGCTTGGAGTTGTGCGTTGAAAATTACTCCACTCCCAGTACTGTAACAGCAAAGAAGACTTGCTTGCACCATTGCCGTTCACTTCCTTGTACAGACCAAGGCCATACTCGTACATGTACAGTTCATTCTAGCTTGTGTCCAAAAGACCAATGCATTGTGCACAGGAAACAACCAGTCAGTACAGACAGGTCCTAGTCTACAATCATACAGGTTCAATTCTATACTAAACACGTGGTGTGCTTTCCGACATGACTCCAGAATACCAGAAGTCCAGAAGTCTTCTATAGCAGTGGATGTTTACAAAAGGCTTTACAGTGCAGTGTACAATCACATCCCCAATGACATACACACATGTATTCATCCTAGTACATGACTTGTATAGATTCGGTCTGGCCAGTGCTTTGAAAAGTCCTTTATTCCCGTAGCTATGCAGAAGACGTTACTTCAGTAACGTCTGGCGCTAGCCAGGGTCCACACAGCTTTAATTTGGTGTTTGTTTGTTTGTTTGTGTGTTTGTGTCACGCCTGGCGGTATCCCGTATCTGTCCCGTTCCGTACCGTACCATCAAACACAGCTGGCCACATACAGCTGGCCGCAATATTCAAATAGGGCTTTCAAACGCAAGATCATAATAACGTAAAGCAACCTGGAAGAATGAGTATGAATGCGAAGTGTATGGGGGAATGCATGTAGGGCGATAGTGCGGTTTCAAATCCCAGATATTGCCTGAAAAAAATAGGAGAATTGAAAATTTTTTAACATCCCTTTTCATTTTTTGCCGTCATCAAGGCGTTAGACGGTGTCGTATTACCCTCGACCGTACCTGTCCCGTACCTGTCCCGTACCTGTCCCGTACCGTACCGTACAATCAAAGACGGCTGGCCACAATGCATATTCAAATAGGGCTTTCAAATACAAGATGATAACGTGAAGCAACTTGGAAGAATTAGTATGTATGCGAAGTGCATTGGGGGATGCATGCAGGGCGATAGTGCGGGTTCGAATCCTAGGTTATGTCTAAAAACAAAAAGTATAAACTTATAAGCTTAACTCGTATTCATATGTCCTTTTCTCTTCTAAATTTATAACATCCCTATGCTTTTTTTGTCTAGGTCATGAAGGCAAAAAAGCATAGCGTAGGGCCCTGAGCTTCCAAGCTCTCTCGTTCAGACAACTGGTTAGATATAGGAGGCTATAGGATGTATCTCCAATGCTCTCTGAACATACCCACGGAATAAACTGGAAGGTTAATAACAAACACATGCGTCGACATGGTACACGTATGGCTATGGGCAAGTGAACATGCATATGCGTGCACCCAACATGACCAGTGACATGACGTTGACAGAACGAGGTTAACTGTTTTCTAGCCTTGGTCGTGCATGCACCTTATCACAATGACAATGGGAACTGCTGTAGCATTCAACAGCAATAGCGTGTGACAACAACCACAACATGCAGGGATACTTGCTCAGATTGAAATGGAATACATGTTCTTGTCATACCCCCCCCCCCCGAAAAAAGGGTCAGTAGCTCAGAGAAAAACCCCGCAGCATATATTTACTGGCCCGTGCTCACCTTGTACAAGAGATTCTCGGCCAGATGACTGCGATAGGCCACACTGCCGGACGTTGCCATCGGTGTCTGTGGAAGTCCCGCCAGCAGTGTGTTAGCTGCACCTATAATATGTGTGTGTGTGTGTGTGTGTGCATTCACACACACACACGCACGCACGTATGCATGCACGCCCCCCCCCCCCACACACACATGCATGCAAGCACACACACACAACACATACACACGAACACACACACACACACACACACACACACACACACACACACACACACACACACACACACACACACACACACGTGCATACGCCATGTAACCATGCAGTCATGTATGAGCATGCTGTATAATATTTGCATGATTACAAACAAAGCCTAGTCCCTGTGCAAGTGCACTGGCAACTGTGACCTCTTCACTATGGGTAAGCTGCGCTGTGTTCTCCCTTCAGTGCATCATGCAGTTACATACACACCCTGCCAAAAATCAAACGAAACCATGGCCCTGTGGTGTGAAACCCACTTTCGTACGGAATTGAAGTTCAGGTACCCACAATTTAGAGATTGCTTTAGTAGTGCTCGAGCTAATCAAACGAGAACGGGCGTGCTGGTACACGCGATTGTAGATCTGAGCGCAGTGATACGGGGTGTACTGCCGTCAAGTTATGCAATGAAGGCAGTATGCCACGCCGCGCATCGACACATAATCACAGCTGCATCTTCTTGGTTATGGACTCTTCGTGTTATCAATACTAAGTCTTGTTCTATGTTGCCTTTGAAGGAGAGATTTCAGTACACCACTATTATGGTGTTTGCAGAGTCACTGTATTTCAAAACTTATCACACGTTGGACAAGGACCTGGCAAGCACTTCTTGTCGCCGTGTGCCAGAATACCTGCTATACCGTACTTGAAGTACTTACCTGCCAGCACAGAGTTGTCCAGCACAGACTTGCCCACAAGATACGTCTCCACATCAGCAGCACGGTACTGTGTAGAGATTGTAGAGATTGCACAAAGAAATCCACACACACACACACACACACACACACACACACACACACACACACACACACACACACACACACACACACACACACACACACACACACACACACACACACACACACAAAACCATGTGCGTTTCAACCTGTGATCTGTGGCACTGCCCGCAGGGTGACTGTAGTGGTCAGCTCGAGTCGTGGTCGACACTCACATCATGTGGTATTACAGTCGCCCGTATCGTCTCCCTAGATGCTATGACTCGCTGGCGATAGCAATGGATATTCAAAATAGGGATGTTGCAGCAGAGGTCTCGATCGCAATCGTACTCACTGCGTTTACTGTGTAGGTGGTGTTTGCAAATCATGTGCGACAACCAAGATTGTACAGTTGGAAATCGGATACGTTTAGTGCGTTTCCTACCCCTGTACATAGACCTCTCTGGCAGAGAGTGTGCGTCATCCTCTAACCTACCAGTGTCCTCTGCACTCCACCATAGTAGATACGCGGCTGCTCAGTCACAACGCCAGTGTCCGGATTGACCACCGCGTGGAACGAAGCATTGGCGTAGGCGTGGCAGTTCTGTAAGAACAAAATTAACAACGGCAGCAGCAGGCAGAACAGCAGCAACAGCAAAGATTTGTAGACATGCTGGTCAGCTGGCACTATCTAACAATACAATGTGCATGAGCTAGTAACTAAATTCAATTGATCCACCATTGAATCATATACATACTTCTAAGTACGCACACACACACACACACACACACATGACGTACAAGTGCCCGCATGCATGGTACAGCCCACTAATAAGAAGAAAGCCAGCCCGCAGCAGGTTTCTTTGTTAGCCTCACTTCACTATGAAAAGCAAACTGAGCGTTACCTCATGTCGCTTCATGACCTTGTGCACAGCATACACAGAGTTGAGCGCAGGAGCTGGAATTGTCATGGACTGAATCACCTAAACAACAAAACAGTGCAAGAAGAACAACACAAAGTCACAAACATACTACAACCTTGTGGTAGTGGCTATGGTCTTACACAGGGAGAGCTGTGTGGGTGCAGTAGGTGCATGTTCATAATAGACAGGTTAAGATGCACGTTATTTCTGACACACCGTGAAAGTTCAGCTCGCGTTATTTGGCTCACGCGTCGAAAAACAACGCGAGTGACCTGCAGCTCGCGTCGAAATTTGGAGTTATACGCCAAATTTGACGTGAAATTGCGCGTCACGTCGGAAATACCGTGCATCTTAACCTCTCTAATATCTATACAAGTACACCTGCAAGTACAAACCATCAATCTCGTGATCAAACCCCTCAGACATTTCGAGATAACGTGGCTCGTACAGCAAGGGCAAACGCACCAGCCACCATGCAACAACATGCAATGGAGAAAGGACAATGTCGGAATAAAGGAGACAAACAAATCATTCGTAACAAGATCACCATAGAGTAATGACACGCAAACCGGGACACAGACGACCACCTTCCAAATACGCATTCGATCAAGAAAGAGCCCAGCACAAGCAACCTACCACATTGGCGACGTTGAGCACTAGAAAGTCTTCAATGGAGATGCTTGCCTCAGTGCCGTCAGCACCTGTCACACCATCACGCACAATCAATGAACAACACGACCATCACAACATGCTATGGGTATGGAATGGCTAGTAGATCTCTCCCTCTGAAGCAATCTCAGTTGAACATAGCACAACATTGATTACTCACAGCACAAGACACTGGGAAGTCGATGAAAAAACATAGGCTCAAAGACAACAACCAACAAGACTATTTAAAGCAGGTGTAATGTAGCAAATTGTGGGTGTATTCTGCAGAACACTCAGTAACTTGGCAGACCATACTCTTCTGCACCCGTAGTGCCACTTTTGTACTCACGCAAAATCCTCAAAGTTGGGGCGAGTGCAGCAAATGCCGTCAGGGCATCGGAAACGAAATAGTAACGTCGTGCCATCATGAAGTTGCCAGCCCAGGTGGCAGACTGCAGGGAGAGAGAGAGAGAGAGAGAGAGAGAGAGAGAGAGAGAGAGAGAGAGAGAGAGAGAGAGACCGTCAATCTCAGGGAAAAAAGCGGGTGTACACGTGATTTGGCAATCGTTTGGCAAACTGGTAGAGAAACGTGTTCTATTTCAAGCTTCACCCTACGCTGTACGTGAACATGCAGTTTGTGAAAATGTCTACTTCACCACGTGTTGCGCACTCACATTCCTGACAGGTGTGTTGGCAATGTGCTTCAAAAGACTTAGCAACTCCCCAAAGTAGGACACACTGGACATGTTCTTGCCCAGGAACTGGATGAGCACCGACAACGTCACACACGCACCAATCGTCAACTCTCCGCTGCTGGCCAGCTGTTCATAGCAACAACATCAGACAAGAAACAAAGAAGCAGCAAAGAAGACTGCACATTGGTATCCGGAATGACATGAACAAGGTGTTAACATGCAACTCAGTAGCATGCACCGGCACAGCACGACTCAGCATACGTATCCTGGCCACACTCATTGCACCATTTCACACTAACACAAGATCACACGACATCACATAGAGGCCATGTGAATGACATCATCACATAATCCTTTGTGTGGACTGTGGAGTGGCGAACTCATCTATGAGATGTGACTGATGTCACTCCATACAAACACATCAAATGATGACGTCATTGCATAAGCGCTATATACTATAGTCAATGGGCCCATATGAAGCAAAAGGCTCTAGGAAAAAGTTATCCTCCCAGTTGTCAGCGGGAAGGATGATTACACATTCTCACTGACACTTTCTCTCCATCATCCGGCAAAGAGAAGACTAGATAAAACCTACGCAATGTCGAGCAAGATAACGCCTCGTCCGACATCTATTTGCAGCCGGTCGACGAGGACCAAGTCCAGGATGCCATCGAAAAGCTAAGTCCTTTTTTGATTGAATTTACTGCTGCTGTTGCTGCTTTTGGGCACGCGTAAAGTGCTAGTTTTGAAAACCCTGCAAAAGACGTAGAGGCTGCTGTTGACAAGTACCTGGATTTTCAAATCAATTTTGAAAAAAGAACCCGCAAGCTAACTGCAGTTCTTGAGGCGCTGAAGGCCAGAGTCACGCGTAGGCCTACGCAAAGCACCAGCAGCAGTGCAGCGTGCAACAGCCCAGGTCAGAACTCCACTGACGCTTTGTTGAAGTGAAAGGCTAAAGGGACAAGCTTAACTATTTTTGAGGATTTTCTTTCATAAAAAATAAACGTCACAGGCTGCTCTTCGTAGGTGTCCGCGTCCCAGCGGTCCGGGCGAGCGACCGCATCTCAGTGGGACACTTGGCCGTGGCCTTTGTACTGGAATCTGTGGGGGAGCCTTGCCAGGGGCTACACACCCGGGTACCGGGTATGGACATATCCCTGGTGTTGCTCCTTTTTTGTTCCTTTCCTTTTTATTTGTTTTCGCTGAGAAAGAAACGTTGCTGCATGGAAAGCTTTCTGTTCCCGCCAGCGCCTTTGCTCTCTGGCTGATAATGGTCATTGCTCGTAATGCCAAAGGTGAAGGGAAGCTGGGTTTCCTGTCATTTGAAACTTCCTGACTCTGAAAATGTAGCTTGAACTAAGAGCTCCCAAGTAGTTTAGTTTTTCGATGTGCCAGACCTATTGTTACGAGCTGCAGATATGAGGAGCAAGGGAGACGTTGGATTCATGCCAATAATGGTGTCTATGGCCCGGACGACGCCACCGGTTTTCACTTGTCAGGAGGACAGCCAAGTTGGAGCAGGCAGATGACAGATTATTAATTTTGAGCATTTATAGCACTAGCAGAGTGGGTGGCTTGCCAAAGAGAATCGTCTCAGTACCTCATGGTTACTAGTATCTGACAAATGCCTCTTATTGCTAGTCTGCATTAGAGCATAGCAGAATTGATCATGTCACAAGTAGTGTCAAGACTTGATGTCCTACGATTATACTCAGATCATGTTGCAACTTCACGGGAATATTCGTCCTGCCACTGTACGCTCTCCCAGAATTGCATGCAGAAGTCACGTGCCTGTGCAAGGAACAACGCGTTTGCATTGCTTACGGATTCAAGCGGATGGAGTGCAGACCAGACAAGAAGACATAATCCGGCTATTCAAATAGCTTGGCCTGCCATTATTAATTGGCCAGATGCCTGGACTATCTGAACATTGCTCCGAACCAATCCACAGAGACAATACCCACACAGGAAGCCAAATGATAAACCCATTCATCAGCTAGCGAACCTTTCATCAAAACGTAACGTTTCGTTGCAACTACCATCGTTCGATGGCAATGTGTTAAAATGCCAGCAATTTACGGAAATGTTCCAATCAACCATTGCCACTATTGTACGTTTATCAGATGTTGAGAAGCTCAGCTACTTGCAGTCGTGTGTGAAAGGAGCGGCAGCAGATGCCATGTTGGGGTACCTCTGCATGAGCGCTAACTAACCCATTCCCTTAGATGTTCTAAAGCACAGTTTTGGGAAAGTAGAAAGAACCGTCAATGCCCACTAGACCAAACTCATGCAATAGCCCTCACAACCGATGCCTGGACATCAAAGGCGATTGAGTGCTATGTTACGTACACTCCCCACTTCATTGATAGTTCCTGGGAACTGATGAGCTGCATCTTCGAGACCACCCAACTTCATGGAAGCCATACTGCCGAGAATCTGGCTACTACAACAAGGGCAGTGGTGAAGCGATTTCGAATCAACTCCGAGTCAATTGTGTACACAGTCCACGCAGCAGGTCGCATCCTGAAAGCAGACATGGGTTGGGCATACCAAGCATGTGTGGCAGCCCACAGACTGCAGACTTGCATGCAGGCATACCATAACATCATCCAGGCCGGTAACTCAGCTTCTGGCTGCTGCACAAAGTCTTGTTGGTCACTTCCACCATAGTGCCAAGGCTGCGGAAGATCTGGCTAAGAAACAACAGGCAATATGGGAGCCACGCTCCGCACCACTGCGTGTGGTACAGGACGTATCCACACGGTGGAACAGTGCACTGCTCATGTTGAAGCGCTTGCTGCAACTGAAGCTGCCTATCATTGCCGTCCTGAAGGATAGTGAAATCAGCAGACCGCAGCACCGTAGGCTTATCCTGAAGGACGCACAACGGGCACTGTGCCAGTGAGCTGGTTGATGCCCTGGAGCAGTCAGCACAAGCCACAACATTGCTTGGTGGCAGCTCCTATGCCGCCCAATCTCTGGTTGTACAGGTCACAACAGCTATTGAAAGGCCGTCGATGGCCACAAAGAATTTCGGAGAGACCTCGGCCGCTGAGATCCGTGCCAAGTTCTCGTTAGACCCTACCAATGCAAGGTACTACTACGAGGCATCAAGGCGGAGATGCAGTAGTATTTCAGTGAGCGTCAGGTGCCACACCGTTGCAATCTGCTGGAGTGGTGGAAAGACAACAGCGCACGCTTCTCAGTTTTGGCATTTTCACGAAACGAAAACGTTTAGCTATGACCCTCCCTCACCCACCCACTACACGGAACGAAAAAAACATATTGACTTGACAGCTAGAATGGATGATAGCTAAAAGACTGTGCGATCGCGCAAGTCGTTTTCGAATTTTACGTGAAGTTTGGAGAACGGCACTTAGTGCCTGCACGGCGAACTTCGATCCCTTGACAGTTCCGAACGTTCGGGGTGACAGATCTTGACCAAAAACGAAATTTAGTACGTAACGAACCTGCTGGTGGAGTGATCTAACGAAAGATTTCATAAACGAAAATTTGTCCTGATACAGTATAATTATGGATGGCCCCAAGGACACTTTGTGAGTGAGGATATTTCGTGCAGCCCAGCCGAATGACGCTACTCGCGAGGCTGGCGGTACATGTTCATAAGACAATTGCAGTTGCTGGAACTCTTCAAAATATCTAAACACACAAGAGTGTGACGACGGGTCAGTACAGGCTCACTCACGTTGATGTCACTCATGCCGGCCACCTTGGTCACATCAATGTACACGGATGCCGGTGGCAGGTTCTTGTACACACCTTGAGGCAGAGAGATAAAGCAAAAATACATCAAACACACCAACATACATACTGGTGGTACGGGTCGATAACGAATACGCATGCAATGCCCCTGCAACACGCCTGCATGCTGTCAATCTTACATGGCTAGAATCATGTACAGGCATTGCTCCTACATGTAGCAGTAAACTTCTAGCACGGTTACCCATCATGGTGAAGACCACTTCTTTCACATGTTCCAAATTCTGACAAAAAAAGAATCATGCAGGAGGACTCGGGATCCCCAAACTGGAGCACTGCCAGTGTCGGATCGCACAGTGTTAACCAAGAAATATCACTGCGACAGATTTTGAGTTAGTCGAGATGCTGGCCATAGCTAGTACAGTACAAGCAGAACAAGCCCCCAGGATGAAGCGACACCTCGTAACACAATTGGTTCAATGTGTGTACTAGTATAAGCCTGAATGCTATGAACGTGTACCTAGTGAACTTGCACTGGGACACTACAAACAGCACAAGCCACCCGCCCGTACCTTTGGCAGTATCGCCGGCAACAAAGCGCACAGACACGCGCGTGGATTCCGCCATGATGGACACTAGCTCCTTTTCAGTCGTCGGCCTGTACCACTGCACCGACGGACCGTCGTCACCATCAGGAAAGCTGACCAGGTGCAAGCTGGACTCTTTCGCCACACGTGGGCAACCCGGGCAATTACCCTTGCACCCGGTCGGCTTCAGATCCTGGAGGTAAAAGTGATACAATAATAATATAAAGGCACAGAAAGATTACACACAATAAAATGTCACTCGCTTCTTACTGGCAACAATTAGGTAGGTACACATTCAAACAGTCTTTAAGGGTTAAGGGCACACAGGAAACCAGTCTTTGTAGACAGGTGGTCTTTGTACATGTACTAGTTTGTAGATAGGTTTGAATGTACATCATGCATGCTGAAATGTGACACAGGGCATGTGGCCTGGCCTCGCCTGTCTATTACTACAGTGCGGAGTTTGTGACCGGTTTTACTGCGCACCCACACGCACACACACAAACAACTAGCGGTAAAGCTCCTGGCTATACTTAGGCTTTGTCTACACCGAACACAGCACCACTATTACCTGGGTGTGGATGCGTAAAGGAAGGCAGATACTCATTTTGTAACTACTACCCGGCTCTGTTCTTATGGTGCATTCTACCATTGCCTACGCCACTAGTATGTGTATCAACCTTGCTGACACTGGCTCATACCCATCACTGTTATGCCCTATCCTGATGAGAACCGTCCTTACCTCAATGTCAACAGGCTCCTCCTCCTTACTCAGTGACTTCATAGCGTCCAGAATAGGTCGGTAGCCTGGAGAGAGGACATGCACATGTAGCAAAGCATTCCCGGTTAGTGATTTGCCATGTGAAAGGGAATCCCATCCCCAAGCTTGTGACACGCGCGGCGAACATTGGTTTTAGTGATACATGTATGCATTGTGTACATCATCGAATGGGTGGGTGTGGGTGTGGGTGTGGGAGTGGGAGAGAGAGAGAGAGAGAGAGAGAGAGAGAGAGAGAGAGAGAGAGAGAGAGAGAGAGAGAGAGAGAGAGAGAGAGAGAGAGAGAGAGAGAGAGAGAGAGAGAGAGAGAGAGAGAGAGCGAGAGAGAGTTGAATACACCACACCCTTGCCTATCCGTGTTGCAGCTACCCATGACTTCACCTATCCGCAACTCATAGCTCATGAGCTAGTGTTGAAAGGATCTCACTGGGTACTCGTTAGCTCGATGCTGACTATGGAAGCAGGCAACCCCTTGTGCACTTGCTGCGCTGAATGTCCGTAAAAAGCAGTGTTCAGTAGCGCATCGTTAACAGCAACTGCGGAACATTGCAGTGCGTGCCCCTGTGTAGAACGACACCTGACGACGCAAACGTAGATCTACGTACGTGCGTGGAGGCATTTTGAGACGCAACACTGAGTGACACCAACAACACCACCAGCTACCGTAGCACTGTAGCAGCACACTGCCATCAACACCTACTGTACGACTGGTAACAATACACTTCACTCACCTGTGCAGCGGCAGATGTTGCCATCAAAGCTGTGCTCGACTTCAGCAGCCGACACCTTGTTGCCAGTGCTCTCCAGCAGGCTGTGGCACCAACCATACAAACAAGCAGCAGCAGGCGCAGCAGCAGCAGCAGCAGGACGGTAGACAAGACTATCAACCAAAGTGATCGTCAACTGGGTATGTAAAGTAAAATTTGCACATCCGTGTTACCACCGGCTTACAATTGTGTTGAGAAACACAACCAGTTTAGAGAAGTTTTGCTGTGCGCAACGCAATCTTTTACCAAGGCACACATACAACCAGATGCTAGGGTTAAACACCAACCGATGGCAGCATAGCCCAACCAACAGCTCACCGGCTGCTTCTCTGAAGCAAAGCTCTCCAGCTGCCAAGAAACAATATGTCGTGTTGGCATGCATGCCGCCAGCCTTGAAGAGGGGTGGCAAACTCAAACATGGTGGAGGAAAAACTAAATTTCAACATCAACTGCAGCTGTATTCCTGGTTGAATAATTTGGTGGTAACGAGTTCAAGACACACCTGGCAAAAATGACAGTAAACACATGCTTGCCCATGCAAGCTCCCTTAAGATTGTGCGACTTGTGCATCAGCAAACAAACAACCTACATGTAGGTGAATAATTCACATCAGTGGCCACTTCCAATGAAGCCAAGCCCAACATATGCTCAGTTGTTCGCAGTAGTTCCTGGCCCACTGTTCAGCAGTTCAATACAGTAAAACAGGTGATGTTTGCTAACATAGAACAGCTTCTGATTTACATTAGGGTGCAATATTGTCACAGACTTTGAACTTTGCACGCTTCAATCGCAGCCATACGGCAGCGCAAACTGGCCTCGACTTCTACACACAAGTCAGCCTTGTCGCACACAACAACTGTTTGGCAATAGGGGCGTAGGACACGCTACGGTCACTACGGTATTGCCCGCACCACTTTTCATCGTTAGCACCCATGTTTTAATGAAATGCTACGATTATTGGCTCTAGATAGTGAAAGTTGTATATGATGGCCCCGAAATAGCACCTACAACAATGGCTGACCGTACCATCCTGAAATACTTTCTGACACCCCTGGGCAACAACCTGCCCGCACACAACCGGCGACGATGGTGGTGGCGACCACGCATCATCTCACCTGTACATGTTCATGACCATGCCGGGCGTGCAGAAACCGCACTGAGAGGCGTTGTGCTGCACCATGCGCTCCTGAATCGGATGCAGCTTGCCCAAGTTGGACCTATTCAATCACAATAGGCAGATGCAGAGCACAGGTACATGTAAATGCAATTGACTGACTTGTCAGTTTGAGCACTTTGGCAAGGTACGTCTGGGCCTGGTTTATATTGGCTTTGGATTTTTTTTCATCGCTATCAGGTTCGGCCCCATTTTCTCTGTGCTGCGCTGAGAAGTCCACAAGTACGAAACAGCATGCTGTCCACAGATTGAGTAAATGCAATTTACAGAATCAGTATACTGTATTGCAGTCAATTTGCAGAATGTTTCTAAGAACTCGCACACACAGCTGCAGCCATTTTACACAATGCTCAGTCTGAACACATACTCAACGGTGTCTCTGCTGCGCAAAACTCCTTCTCTTCTCACACCAATTGTTCTAGTCTAGCCCATCCACCATCAGGCTGCTCAATCCTGATTGTAGTACGATGCTTCAAAATTAGCGTTGGGTTGCTTCTCGCAGAAAAGGCAGCAAGCATTTTGCCTACGAAATCTGTCCAGAAATAATAAAAAAAATTAAACTAGAGCCAGCCAGTCATGAAATTAAAAAAAAACTAGAGCCAGTCATGAAAAGAGTGAAGTCACAAATTGCAGAAATAAAAGCATGCCAGCAATAAACTGATCTAAAAGAAAAAAAAAGATGGCTACTTACCCACCAAGACCTTCAATGGTTGTGACCGCTGCACCGTGCAAGCCGCAAACGGGATATAAACACTACAAAAGAGAATACACACGCGCACACGCACACACGGGCACGTGCCCATACATGAACACAGAGGGGGAACGGTCATGTTGTCAAACATACACCGCTGCTAGGAAAGGGCAGAATGCACGGAGAGTTGGCAAACTATCCAACTCTCTATTCTACTCAATCTGCGGACAGAACTGTTTCGTCCTTTGTGGACTCGTCAGCGCAGCACAGAGGAAATGAGGCCGAACCTGAGTGAAAGCAATGGAAATAAAAATTTCCAATCAGGCCCGAACGTACCTTGCCAGAGTGCTCAAACTGACAAGTCAGTGAGCTCTGCATAACGCAAACAGCAAAGGCACTACCCCACGCAAGAGTGCTCAACTGCTACAAGAGCAGGAGCAAAATACTCAATCTGCGGACAGAACTGTTTCGTCCTTTGTGGACTCGTCAGTGCAGAACAGAGGAAATGAGGCCGAACCTGATAGCAATGGAAATAAAAATTTCAACTCTCTATTCTACGTATCTAACATAATGAACACTGCTACCAAGTACAAGGCCTGTACTCTTGCCCCCCTCCCCATGCAATGGCACCACAACTTGCCACAAGAGTCCAATTTCATGATTCTAAATACACTAGGACAAAGATCCGATGGCTGACTTCGTGTACACCAACACGCATCTTACGGAATTCACAGCTCTGTGCTCGAGCGCTTCGCCCTTCGTCTCCGTAACCATGACTACACACGCCCCGCAACCGCCCTCGCCGCACATGCGCTTGGTGCCCTTCAGGCCGGGCTGGTCGCGCAGCCAATCGTTGACAGTCAGCCATGGCGACGGGTTGGTGACGACGTGCGTCCTGCCATTCACCGTGAAGATCACCGCATCCGTCGACGCCATCTTGCCTGACAACGGCATACAACACAAATGATCATACACACAGTTCATTACCAACATGAGCAAAATACGAGTAGACGTTAAAAAGTTCCCATGAGAATATTACAGTGCTATCCGAACGCATAAGTCGCTGTACTTTCTTCAGGTTGTCACTACACAGTATCTAGGGAACTTCCAGCACGATGGCACGTCAAAATGTGAGTGCTTACACATGGCCAGCACTTGCACTCATGCCACGTCCCAAGGCACTCGTGTCCGGTACACGCCACCCGGTCAACTTTGTGTACTGAAAGTCAACAAATATTCGGCGCATATTTATTTTCGGCTATTTTCGGCCTGGTCATACTTGGCTGAAAATTAGTTGCGGCCGAAATTTTGTTCTGCAAGGTTCAGTGTGACAGTGTACACAATCAGCAGCTGTACAGGCCGGAAATTTAATGGGGCCGAAATGTGCCTTAGCCTTGGGAGGCCGAAATTTGAATGGGCCGAAAATTTGTAGACTTACTACTAGTAGTTGACCAAAACAAAGTGTGCGAGCAACGGTGATGAGACATCCTGAGCAACGGTGATGAGACATCCTTTCCCCCGTGCCATACCCAAGGTTATTACCGGACCAACTTTTCGGCCACCGACACTTGTTTCCTACTGTGGAGGGCATGTGTACCCGCCATGTCACACACAGGACATGTGCATCCGACATATCACACACAAAGTATGAACATCCATGATATTACCGGATCAATCGAAAGCTGCTTCCGGCAGTCCCGATACCGGTATCGCTAGTTTCGAGCTCAGTCTGAGTGCACACGCACACATGTACGAGCATACGCATCGTTGCTCTTGCTAGTGAGATCTCATCCACCAGAACCCTTGTGTTAGAACCGTAAGTGCTCAAGATGCCAAGGCGTCAAATCACCAATGTCATGGGCACAAGATCGAAATTCGAAAGCAACACCAACGTTAAAAGTTCGCCTAAGTATACTGTTCAGAATTTCACCATTCCCATCTGCTCCATATGCAAGGGTTGGCCTGGGGATTTTCTTTTTTGCATTGCTGTGGATGGAAAATCTAGTACATGTACTTGCAAGACTCACACACCACATATAATTATAATAGACCTCACTGCAGGGGCGTCGGAAGGTATTCGACATTGGTGCAGCCATGAAAGGGTGGAGGGTCCGGGGTCCTCCCCCTGGAAAATATTTTGGGAAAGTGGGCCCAATTAGCCCATATTTTGTCCCTGCGGGAATTTGCGGAAAAAAACTCTCGAAAACTTGCGCAAGAAATTGCGGCAGAAAACAACAAAAAATGCGACGAAAAGTGCGGAATGATGCAGAACTTGCCAGGAATTCGCGGAATTATTTGCAGAAAATTGCAGATTTGGGCCAAATCACGAAATTTGTTGCATCGTCTACTCCGGAGTAGTACTAGTCATACTGTGCAAATAACCTATAGGATCATGGAAAGCACTGTGTGAAAAGTGCATGATACATGTGAGATATAGTGCAGAAAACAACAAAAAACACGGGAAATCGCGGATTTTGCTGAAAATCGCGGGTTTGGGCCAAAATCGCGAAATTTGTTGCATCCGTGGAATCGTGATTTCCTGGAGGGACAGATAATTGCCTCAAAAACCCGAGATGAAATTCTTGGTGCGGCTTTGGCCACACCTGCAGCATCGGTTCCAACGCCCCTGCTCAATAGGGAGTTGTAGCGTCTGATTAGACGACATGAGTGACTGGAACGTGAAACGATGTTGGTTTTGCTCCCAGGCTGCCTATTCCAGGGGCCCTTGGGGCAGGGTTGCTTCATGCACGCCCGCATATGCCATCGCTTGTCTGGGTTGTGTGGGGTCAGCAGGTAAAGGCCTTCTTACGCGGATCACATCGAACTTCCAAACCCGGAGTCGAAACGCACGTTGCTTCAAGTACTATGATCTCGTGCCGTCTGTCTCTCAATGCTATGACTCCCTGGCAGTCAGTATCACCCCACCACCAATATCAACACACCGTGACGCACACCTCCTCTGCGGCGTTGTGAAAGAAGAGAATGGCCATTGATAAATGACTTGGTCCTACTACACGGGCATGCGTATTCTCATATTATTCAATGCACGGGGTGATTGTACCCTGCCTTGGTGTCTACAAGTCCAAGTGCAGTCTATGAATAGTAGTGTATACAGTATATGGATTTTTTTCCTTTTTTTCTCTCCCTTGATCATGATTCATTGATTTGACCAACATTATAATGTTCATTAGCAGTAAAACGAGACCCTCCGAGCACCCATCCCCCCGTCGTGCTCGACTCTCATGAGAAGGCGGAGAATTCAAGTATGGATTCACGGATGGATTTATGTTTTGAGTGTACTTACGGAGTATGCTTGGCCAGCACCTTTCCACCTACGCACCCACGCCAGTACGCGCAGCACAGAGTCTGCTATGCACTCAGTCGTGAGACGTAGACCCCAAGTGCCCTCCCTGGCGCCGTCAGAAAAACATCAAGCCTAAAGCTGTACCAGAAAGCTCGCACTGCCAACAACAGCTAGCTGTGTAACTACGGTAATTGCTTTTGGTTACTAGAATGTGGCTGGTTTTCTCAATTTCTGTGCTCATTTCAAAATCTAATCCAATCTCACATGCATGCTTGACCTGTTGACGACAATGAATCATTGAGTGATGTGTGTACTGTTATGGTTATGTACGTAGATCTACGTAGATCTATGCGAGTATGTATGCAACCGTGACGTCACTCTGATTGTAGAATGATTTATGTAGACTCATGTCATGACATGAGCATGTGACCGTGAGTCGTGACACCCACAAGTGACAAGGCACAAGTACAAGCAAGAGTACATAACAAGGGGGTTATGTACTCTTGGTACAAGTGAGTGACAGACTAATGACATGACAGTCAACAGTCTACAGTACGAGAATGATCATGATCAGTTCATGTGCAAATGCCAAACAGTACTAGTGTAGTAGTGAACGTCAGCGGCTATCGCAGACTGTCGCGTCGTTGACACCTGAATGTTAGACAAGGATCAAGGAGTAAGAACTGTAAGAAGAAGAACTGTAAGAAGAAGAACAATGATACGCTAGTATTTTCAACTGCATATCACCCCTTCTTCATTAAACATCACACCAAAACATTGCTACAGTCAATTTTTTCAATTTTTTCAACTGCTGATGTAAACGTGTTCTTCAGAAAGACAAAACAACTATTTCACTAGATTGTTGTCTCTTACTACTAGAGTTATGCTTTTCCATAATCTCCTTCTTACTCATGTGTAACCCTTAGCTGCAGGCAAATATTTTGCCTGCATTTTGGCAGTGTCAATATATTGACACTGCCAAAAATATAAGTCTGTACACATTACCATACAGATATAATGTACACACTGGGCTTGCATGCTTTTTTCACGTACAATTACAAAGCTTGCATGCTTTTTTCACGTACAATTACAAAGCATGTTCCATATAGGCATTCACCCATATTGGAATTCTAGCCCACTTTACTACATATATTTCATAACAGAATTACAGCATACAACACTTCCAAATTAGGAACTCCCAACGCTCTTGGGGCCCCTAGCATTTTGGCGGCCTACTTGTATCTATGTATATTTTGTGCCACTCTCACCCGCATAAATTCTGTTGTGTTTTTACATTTTACTTCACTTTACTCTGATGAGCTGCTTAGACAGCGAAACCGGTAAGACAATTTCGACCAGTAATGGTCAAACTCAAAATGTAAAATGTGCTCTGTCTACTGTGTCGGTGGTTGCATGCAAAATCCAAGGAGTACGAGTAGATCTACGAGTACGACTACGACTACTAGCTCCTCCTGTAGGGAGGGTCCGGACTCCGGAGCAGCGCAACTCCGCGGGCCATCACTATGACCACTTGATCGCGGCTTCTCTCAGTCAGCTCAGTCAATGATGCTGACATCAGTAACCTGCTGAAAACCTCCTAAGGACAGTGAGGGGAGGAGTAACTGCTAACTGCTGTAACCACTTTACCATATTTTTAAAAGAACTAAAATGTACCGTGGAGAGAGAGAGAGAGAGAGAGAGAGAGAGAGAGAGAGAGAGAGATGAGAGAGAGGAGAGAGAGAGTGAGAGAGAGAGAGAGAAGAGAGAGAGAGAGAGAGAGAGAGAGAGAGAGAGGAGAGAGAGAGAGAGAGAGAGAGAGAGAGAGAGAGAGTCGGAGAGAGAGAGAGAGAGAGAGAGAGAGAGAGAGAGAGAGAGAAGAGAGAGAGAGAGAGAGAGAGAGAGAGAGAGAGAGAGAGAGAGAGAGAGAGAGAGAGAGAGAGAGAGAGAGAGAGAGAGAGTCGGAGAGAGAGAGAGAGAGAGAGAGAGAGAGAGAGAGAGAGAGAGAGAGAGAGAGAGAGAGGAGAGAGAGAGAGAGAGAGAGAGAGAGAGAGAAGAGAGAGAGAGAGAGAGAGAGAGAGAGAGAGAGAGGAGAGAGAGAGAGAGAGAGAGAGAGAGAGAGAGAGAGAGAGAGAGAGAGAGAGAGAGAGAGAGAGAGAGAGAGAGGAGAGAGGAGAGAGAGAGAGAGAGGAGAGGGAGAGAGAGAGGAGAGAGAGACAGACATACATACAGACAGACAGACAGACAGACAGACAGACAGACAGACAGACAGACAGACAGACAGACAGACAGACAGACAGACAGACAGACAGAAAGAAACAGAGACAGAGACACAGAGAGAGAGACACAGAGACACAGAGACACAGAGAGACACAAAAAAATTAGACAGAGAGACAAAGTGGGAGCAAAGAAAAGGGGTAAGGTTTATTGCTAGGGACCAGGACTAAAGTCACCACAGTGGATCAGAGTACTCTATCTCACACAGGAGCGGTTCGAAAGTCTTGCCGGACTACTTCGTCAACTCTGAAGATATTGATGACTGATTTTTTAAAGAGATCCATGGTTCAGAGCTGAGAATGGACGTCGAGGCCCTGTCGCCTTACCGTGATGAATCCGACAAGCCAAGTTTAGAGGCAAGTCTAGACCAGCCGGCAAAGTGATGGGTCAGCCTCTGGTTCACCTCCTTGACTGGGAATCCGAAATGATGCGTGCAATTGAGATTATTGTAGTTGTTCAGAGAATTTTAGGTTTTAAAAGACCTGTCCAGATGGTAGAGGGGGATTGTTCAGAGGGCATTGTATATTGGTGATCGTGTGCCATTCCTGGGTGCGCAATAACAAACTTGTAATTTCGTTGTATTTGAATTTGTACATATATTTAAGGATTCTCTACAGGTCTCTAAATCGAGGGAGTCTCCGTGTGGATCTATCCGTAGTGCCGTACGAGTACTTGCTGAACGGTTACAGACTCAGTACTCGCTTCTTTGTTACCCTTGGAACATCTTGCAGGAAGATAAGATACATGTATAGGCGGCAGTCGATACCATCAAGGGTACATAAAGTACTCTTGATACAATACAATGTACCTGAACTGTGCCAGGCGGGAAGGACTGGAGAGCCATACTAATACTATAGCTAGTATGGGATTGAATAGGGGGGGGGGGAGTGAAGGTACATGTAGCGTATAGCGCCAGCTGCTGACTGTGAAGTTTTTGTTGCCATGCCAGGCAGAATTGTGCCATGCGGAAGGGCGGAAGAGCCCTGTTGTGGGATGGTATGGGAAGGGGTGGGGAGTGGGGAGTGAAGGTAGCGTAAGTGCCAGCTGGTGAGGCTCGTGTTGTTATCGGGGCAAGCACTGACCGACGTTGTTGGTCATCGCCTCATCGGCGCACGGTGGAACGGTTGTGAAAATAAAGAGCTGAGGGTCAGGTCCTTGGCCGCCATCATGATACCGATTGCGAGAGACGTTCCCAGTTTGCTATTGGAGCCATAAGAGCTAATGAGAAGATGGTTATCCATGTTCAAAATGATGAAGGAGTTTATAATAGTCGCTTCTCCAGTGGACATTTCAACAGTAAAGTGTTTACCAACAGCTAGAGGACCCCTGTATTGGGCAGTACAGTAAGCAAAGCTTACTGAAACTAATTGACATGATTGTGCTCTCAATCTCATCGGTTGTTGAAAACTGTACACTTACCAACACGTTGCCGATACTCCACCAGTTTCTGCGCAATGATTATGTGGCCTAGATCATAGTACAGTATGGGTAAGTAATAACTTATACAAGGACAGCTGGTCAGTGCTAGCTGAAACTATATTAAACAAGTGGAGAACCCCTCGATAGGCTACCCGCCTCTGGGTCATCTCTCAAATAAAGATAATAATAATATTATGTAAGAAATGGTTTGCTCCCCACACCGGAGCTCGCGCTATTCCGCCGACTGACACTGACTCACGCTGCTATCTGGTGTTCACGAGATGTTTGTCGCGCTGGAAACGGAGCGTCTCTGTAAGTTTGTATCCCTGGTGATGTTTGTGCCTGGAGAGCACTATAAGTGGTGCTCTTCAGGCACAATCTTCCTCAGCCTTCTCAAGCTCAACTGATGAGGGGTGAATTCCCCGAAACACTGTGTATTGAGCAGGGAGTGGTGCTTTCTTGCAGGTTTGCCGAGTCGAAGGTTCGATGGACTTCTCGTGTGCTCTGGATGGCAGTCGTGAGTCAGTCAAGTGTCAAGTAAAGTCGGCGGAATAGCGCGAGCTCCGGTGTGGGGAGCAAACCATTTCTTACAAATCATCGCCGAAGTCGCAACCACTACTTCGTAATAATATGTAAGCCTGTTTATCAGTACTGTACGACTATGATAATACTAGTACTAGTGTTATCATAGTCTGTACTTTGCCGATACTCCACCAGTTTCCATGATTTTCCGGAAAAATGAATGGAATAATCCAAAGTTACCGCATGCCATACAAACTACAGGCAAATCACAGTCACTACTGGCAATGCAGGATATCATACCAAAGTCCAAAGTTCTCCTTAGGTGATATGCATACAATCAAGAGTGCATGTTTATGGACTCTTGATATAATACAGCGTCAGACTAGAATAATACAGCTTCTAGAAAAGACATTCAACAGTAACTTACTGTGTACACGCGACAAAAATAGAGAAACAATCATCTACTACTGTAGTCATATCACATCCTGTGTTGCTGAACTGCTGTAGTACATGTACATGTACATGTACTGTCGGTGTGCTGATGATGTCGCTAAAGCTCCAGTTTGACATAATCTACTAGTACACGGAGTATATTTTACTCGAGCAGATTGCTTCTTGCCCATTCTATTCACTCGTGACATACATCATGCAGGTGTGATGAGTTGAGTTGTACTTGTATTATACCTTTAATTAATACTAATATACATGTAGGTGAAAAGTAGTTTGATACATCTGTCCGCCAAGGGACGCAGCTGGCCGCGCATCAGGTGGTGTTGACACTGAGTTGACATCGTCGGAAAAAGCTCCGAGGTGTATTCCTTGCTCTCGGGGGCCTTGGGGAATTGACTCCCATTGACAGGACTAGAGGAGACTGTATCATGATTCATGATAGGCCATTGTACTTGCAGTCACATCAACCGAACACCATCTGTAATCAGTCGAACTCAGAATGCACGCACGATACTGTCTACTGTCTATTGTATACATGTAGGTGCATGTACATGTATAGAGAATATTATGTCCACACCGCCTTTGTCAAGCGATTCCTCGCAGTCAGTCGTGACAAAAATCAAGTGTCGAACCAAGTACTGGCAGGTGTTTAAGGTTTTTCGTCCAACTCCAGAAAGGCCAAAGAAAGGGAGTTCGATAAAAAGTCAGTACATGCTCAGATACATGTACATGTACAATCATGTACATGTAAGTAATTATTAGTTTGTAACTGTGTAAGACGTGGCCTTATCTCACTCTCACTCTCAGTCTGATATGTCGACTGCAATCAAGAGTACGTAACCCCCTCCCCCATAATATGCCTTGGCAGAAGGGAATCATTATACGACTCCCTGCTTGGCAGTCTACATGTTGATAAAGGTATAGCCTTTGCTGACATGGCACTCACTCATCATGACTACCACAGTACCAGTGCCACTCTGCTATATCTGGTCTACACTACAGTCATACGTAAATGTATGTCACATGACAGTGTCACATGTCACGTGGAAGCAAGAGTACCTGTACTAGGCTGTAGTGGCTGTACATGTACAATGACATACTAGTAGTCATTCGTAAGTGTGAGAAATACATGACAGTGATGACACGTACAAACCCAAGTAAGACAGTGTTTATATTTATTATACATACACTGTAGTTAGTTAGTACACTGCAGTAGTCTGGTAGTAGAGCCTAGACCTCTGCTCTGCTAGTCTGACTCTAGTCTAGTCTAGGTTTAGTTAGTCTAGCTCTGATCTTGTCTTATCTTGGTAGACCTGGTGGCAGCCTGGTAGATCTAGTACTGTGTCTGTGGTAGACAGGGCTCAGTCGACTCAAAGAACTGTTACTTTATTGAAAATCCATGATAATGTGATCGGAAAGACGATTGAAGAAAAATCCAAAGTCAAACCCAGGCAATTATTAGCAGTCACTACTATCAAAGCAGATCATTATTTGCAATAGCGCAACTAAAGGTTACTTGGAAAGCCGGCTAAAATTCCAGACCATCCCTACTTAGTACTTGTAACAGTCAGGTGCAGGGCCTAGGCCAGGGCCTGACTAAGGCAGTAAGGGTGGTCAGATCGCACACTGACATGTACATGTACCATAATGGCATATCCACCATGTGTACTGGCCTGAGTACGCGCATGCTGAATCGTAAACTGTAAAACATAACCATGGTACACAGACTGTGTCATGGACGTCAGTGATTATAGTATTGAAATAGGAAGGTGCCCCAATCACGCTTTGACACGCTCCACCTGACTGCGGTGGCGGCGCCTTTGTGTCTCCAAGGTTACAGAGTTCGTGGTTCCTTTGAAGTGGCCGCCGACGCTTTCACTATGCTCCGTCAGCCGTGATTGTTTGTGTAGCACCTGGGCCAGTGAAGTGCGCATGTCAGCCAACACGATTATGCTCACGAGTAGCGGAGTACGGAGCAGGTCAGCTGCAGCCCATGCCCAGTCGATAAAAGTCTTTGCCAGTGTAGTACTACTACTACTAGTAGATCTACTAGTAGTGAGTAGTGTTATAATCATTCAATGCAGTGCCTACAAAGGCTGGCTACCGGTCATGCATGCCTGATTTGAGTCGCTCAAGTCAAGAGCTCGTGAAGGACATGCATCATGATCACTAGTTCTTTAGATAAGTTTAGTTTAGTGCTCAGTAGATGTGCCAACCAGGGAGTCGTCATCATGGTCATTCACGGCTCCTATCCGGGTCCCAGCCAGGTTTTGCCAACTGCAAACGGGAGTGCAACACTCGCCCCTACCCTAGCCCTACTGCAGTACTGGCCTTAGCAGTGCCCTAGCCCTTCGATCTAGTTCTAGTTCACCATGTTCACGAGAGCTACAGACAGTACGTAGTACATCAATCAATCATGTCAGTACACGTGTAGACGTCTACGTGCGTCATGTACATGTACGTGCGACATCATGCACAACACGTATGTGGTCAGCAGGCGCTTTTTATTCATTCCGCCAATACTCAATAGTGCACGTACATGTACAAGACATACTACAAGGGGGTTATAATTATTATACTCTTGATGCAGGTACTACATAGTCATTACACCACCAGCCTGCACTGCACTGCATGCAGTAGAAGGAGAAAGACAACTGTTTTCATGGTTTATTCAATATTGCAATGATGACTGTGTCACTGTCTGCATCATAATCTAACTAAACGTTACGTTTTTTCTTCGTAAACACCAATGCCAATGCAGTGTCAACAAAGACAAGTGTGGGGGGGGGGGGACTAATGCCAGTACATGTACTACTGGCACTAGTAGCAGTGCCAGTAGTGGCAGTAGTGCCATGTCACTCGGCATCCGAGTGACTTCAACTTTCAAGTAGTAATACTAGTACAGTATTCTCTGGAGTCCTGGCTGGGTCTGGGGTGCATGCTGCTGTAGATAGCTGCTGATGTCCTGGTCCGTCGTGCCCGGACTGACAGTCTGTGAATGATCGTATCACCTCGACGTCTTTAGATCGTAGACACATGGTAGATCTACATGTATGCGGATAGACCTACGCATGGTAGGAGCGTTGACTTCTACTGTTCTAGTTCTACGTAGTACTAGTAGTAGTAGTAGTCACGATGCTAACACCAGGTGCACCGGTGGCTCGCTCCTCACGGTTCTGCTTAGTACACGTAGTATTCTAGCTGGACGCAAGCTCAAAATACTATGACTAGTACCAGTAATAGTATGAGTTAGCTGTAGTCCTGTAGTCTACCCTGCTGGAAATGAACTGTCTAGTGTATGTGTACGACTAACTAAACTTCTTCTTTTTCTGTTCTGGTTTTGACAAGAATGTCAATGAGGCAGTCAGACTCCGAGCCACCACTCCACGCGTGCATAAGAACACAATCATTATACGTAAACAAGCCTTCACTAATAATACTGCTTTTCGTACGTGTTTGCGTGTAGTAGATCGACCATCGGGAGCTGGGAGCGGGAAGTAACACTTAGTTATGCGGAGGGTAGATCTACTGACACCAAGACTCGGTGATCTTGTTATGCTAGAAGTAGAACTAACACAATGTCAAATGAAGTAAAGTAAGGACGTCGATGAACACACAGTCCGAGTAAAAGTCAGATGCTGAGCTAGTCAAAACTCCAGTAGATCTAGCAGCCTGCACTCAGCAAATAATTAGATCGCTATGTAAACCATCGTCACCCTGGACAAATGTGTAGCGAATAGAGAGTTTTCGTGCCAGGTCACAGCCACAGGTGTGGCGCTACGATCACGAAATCAGCTTGTTTGTACGCTACGTAACGCACCAGTGCGTGCTAGAGTCGTAGAGAAGTAGAGTAGAGCTACCGAGCTGTCCTGTATCGACTATCGTCTGTGACTGCGTCCATAGACCATACTGCGCACACAGCTTTTGTCGTGCCCAGTTCACGATCACAGGCGCTGTGCTCTGCCGCCAGTAGTGTTTCATCCATCCATGGGACTGTAGAACTTAGAAGTGTAGTCTCTACTCTAGTGTAGGCTGGCTGGGACTAGTCAAAGTGGGAGCAAGGCAAGAAAAATAATCGTCATTTTGGTCTTCTCGCTATGAGTATGAGGATGATGGAGCGGAAGCCGACTTCAGACGAGATCCGCCAGTTCTCTCATGAGGAAATTGATGGCCCAGAGGACCAAGAAGGAGAGGACGGATGCGATGCGTTTTCAGACGGCAGTGCCGACCATGAGTTTCGCACGTATTCATCATCGTACAGCAACAATGCCATCGCGGGTAAGTCATTCTCTGCCGTAATCGTGTTCATTTGCCGAGGCATGCCTAGCGCCTAACGCCTGCTTCTTCTCGACACGCGGGAAAACAGAGGGTGGATCGCGACCTAGTGTACATGAGGTTCACAGCTTACAGCATCCTTTCAGGCGTCGATTATGTACAAGACTGAGAACTAGCTGCGCCCCAGAGGCACAGAAACAAACCCAGCACTACTTTTCTAGGCGCTCGAGCTCTGGGAACATTTGTGGCAGCTCGGATCTAGCAAAACACCTCTTGCGATCCCTAGCTATGTCGCGGAAGTGCCGTGAAGCAGCGATGCTCTGCAGGTATAAGAAGCTCGGTTGCTCCTGCGCTTATTAATTTGACGCTTTGCACCTGCGCCTCGTGTACTGCCACTGGGTTGTGGCTTGAATCGCTTGACGGTGGAGCCCTTTGCGGCGGTGCGCTTGGTGTCGATACGGTCGTGTTCTCGCCGTAGAACTGCCTAGCCAAGACAGCGGCAGCAGCGGCAGCAGTAGGGCATTATATTATTATTTATAGGACGGGGATGCACCTCTCATGCAGTGGCTTTGCCATATTGACAATGTGCAGTTGTGTTCGGTTTCTGCGCTGGTGATATGTTGCTCATTCTTGCCCGTCCGCTGTTCACTGTTTTTGGTCATCTTTCGCCAGTCGTCGGGGTCGAAATGAGTGTTTCTCGTCCCGGTGTCGATGAAGTTACACATTTTTACCTCTTCCTGAAGCATGATACTGTACATAAGTGTTCAACGTGGACCCCCGTCGTTACTACAGTCAGTGCAGGGTCACACTCGTCGACGTGTCGGCAGCCCAGTGCGCACCAACGCGCAAGCTGCACCATCTGCATTGCCTGTATTATAAATACATGTATAATCAAAATTGCATGCCACTAAACTCTAAAGTCTAAACTAGAGACGTTAAGAGCTGCCCAGTGCCCTCAGCGGACCAGGATGGCAGGAGAGAGACAGAGAGGGAGTTGCAGGAGAAACAAACTCTACTGTATAGCTTGTAGTGGTGGAGATAGTGCAGGAGGTGATGGCACGGTTTATGCAATACGCATCATGCACGTATAATTATGGAGGTAGTTGATGTGTATCTGGTGAGTGTAGACAGTATAGTCCTTTCTTGTAGATCCACTTGTGTGCGCAGTACACCACTCCTTGAAGTACTGTACAATGAAGGAATGGATCTTGAATGGTCACTGACCATTTCATGCACTACCCTCCCGTAGAGACTGGAGCAGAGTGCATCAAAAGGGCGGTGACGTTGATGGGTGGTGATGCTTTTTGAGCTTTTATACTTCTTTCTGGTCGTGTATACTGGTGAAATGAAACATGTGTCGTCTGTGCTAGTTTGCACAAACAGGCCCACAAGCATAGGGAATCTCCTAGTTTCGATCCCCAGCGAAACCCAGAGAGCTTTGCAAAATCTCTGGAAATTTCAAGAGACTAAACAACTTTGCCCAGGTTTGTCGAGCTCTTCCGAGAGGATTACTTACACCCTCTGATGACATCGATGCCTGCTTGACATACCATAGTATTCCTTGAGCAAAAGAAACCATTATCTAATAGAAAGAATAAATGGCAAGTGGCCTCAGATTCCGTTGGATTTTGCTCATCATGGCCCAGGAGCTGTGGCATCATTCATGATCCACAGCAAGAAGGCAGCACTGCCTGTACCTATGGTGAAGTAGAATAAAGATAAGATAACATACTATGACGAGGAACTGTGGACTGTGTTGGGCGTTTTCGATCAGATCGGGTGTCTGGACCGGGGAGTGCTGCCAACAGTCTATGAGATTGACTAAGGCCAGTAAGGGAGCTGTGACTGCTCACAGTGACCTGATTGGTTACTGAGTCCCACATCGTATTCGGTATTCACTCGAACCAACTTTCCGGCAACGCCCAGTAGGCATATACGCATCAGAAAACGTCCCTAGCATAGCCAGCAATCGCATGTCATCACGTACATTCAAAATCAACATAATTTTGCGAATCGACTTTTTTTTCAGGATCACTTTTCAACGAGGACGAACCAAAGTCGGCCGAACGAAGCCTAGAGGAAGAAAATCACCCTCTCCACTTCACCATCACGATACTGACATAGATACGAGATGAAACAACTAAAAAATCCACAAGAAAACTGTACGGCCATCATCGCGCTGACTTTGGTCTGAGAATTTCTATCACGATCAAAAATGTACGAGGAGCACTCAAAAATAAGCCACAGACGTACCTTTATCGCTCTCTACTCCTTTTTCAAGGCACAGAAGTCGACTCTCCACTTTCAAACCAGGAACCAGACATACCAGTGGTCCTTTTCAGCTGCTCCACGAGCGCAGGATATGTTCACCAAGGGGCGCAGAGCAGCATCCATTCCAGAAAAAAGAGCTAAAATACGAGTGAGACTGCATGCCTGAGTACATGAGTACATGCAGAAAATAGTCAATTTCAGCGTTTCTGCTCCAAACAGCAACTAGCTTCGACTAGAAACAAAGATTACACCAAAGGATCAAACAACAACCATTTTCTGCAGTTTTTTTGCAGATGGCTTCCTTGTGCATGTGCTTGGCCCAGCACGCCAAAAATCACACCTCGGAGGAGTACAAAAATTACAACTCTCAGATGTCCTCGATTGCTGGCCATGGTCCAAGGATAAGCATACTGAATGATCTCTTGGCCACGAAAGTACGCTGGTTGGATACTATTCTTGAGATTTCCAGCAAGGAGACTATAGCAGAGTCATGATTGTTTGGATCGATGGGCTATTCCGATATTCAGCGGTACAGCTATGTAAGGTGAAATTCATTACTTCTCTGACCCCCTCCGCTTACACGCACGCGCACAGTGACACGATCAACACTTACGAGATTGCAAGCGCTGAGTCATTGCCCCCGTTGCCTCTAGGTGTGTCTCTGAGCCCCAAGTATGGGAACCCTCGGCATACTCCGGTGAAAATCCTGTTTCTCTCATAAGTTACACGTATATAATTACTATTAGGGTACCTCAACTCGAACTTTCACACTTTCCAAATACGGTCTCTTCGCTGCATACATCACTTCAAAACGAGAGAGCTTGGAAGCTCAGGGCCCTGCGCTATGCTTTTTTGCCTTGATGACCTAGACAAAAAAAAGCATAGGGATGTTTTCTTTAAAAAAATCCTTTTTTTAAAACCTGGGATTCGAACCCGCACTATCGCGCGCCCTGCATGCAGCCCCCGATACACTTCGCATACATACTAATTCTTCCAAGTTGTTTCACATTGTGATCTTGCATTTGAAAGCCCTATTTGAATATGCATTGTGGCCAGCCATCTCTGATGGCACGGTACGGTAGGGAATAGGTACGGGACAGGTACGATCGAGGGTAATACGACACCGTCTAGCTGCCCGCAATATTCAAATAGGGCTTTCAAACGCAAGATTAACGTGAAGCAACTTGGAAGAATGGGTATGAATGCGAAGTGTATGGGGGAATGCATGTAGGGCGATAGTGCGGGTTCGAATCCCAGGATATGCCTGAAAAAAAAAGGAGAATTGAAAAATTTATAACATCCTATGCTTTTTTGCCGTCAGATACGGATAGCGCCAGGCGTGACACAAACAAACAAACAAACAAACAAACAAACAAACAAATACCAAATTAAAGCTGTGTGGACCCTGGCTAGCGCCAGACGTTACTGAAGTAACGTCTTCTGCATAGCTACGGGAATAAATAAATAATTGAACTCACCAAATTTTCGGGCATGGCCCATCCTCAGGGTGAAAAAAAACGTTCAACGAATGCCAACAAAAACTGAAACGAGTAGATATGCTGCATACTTTTGCATCATTTTCTCCATGTTGTACTAACACACAATCACACATACAGATGCAGCTCTACACTTCTCTCCTTTCCTCCCTCTCTTTCTCCCAACACCTTTCACCATTGCTGCTACTCTCCGCACTCACGGTGACCGTCATGATACACACACTTTTTGGCACGATTTTTTTCCTTTCATTTCTCCCGACACCTTTTCACCATTACTGCTACCCTCCACACATACACACGTACACATCTTTAGCTCCCTTTTTTCACGCTCTTCTCATCACCTTTCTACAGCACCGCACAGCATATCTACTCGTTTCAGTTTTTGTTGGCATTACAGTCCATTCACAAAAAGATGGGCCCTGGCTCCGGCGAGCTCCCGTATTAACCGATTTTTCAAGATTTTATCGTACAAAGTGCAGTGCTGCGAAATTTGAAATTTGAAAAAGGGTCCAAAAAGGGTACCTGAACTGGGGTTCGAACCGTACAATGCACTGTTGCAGGCACGGTCAAACGGCCTGGATTTTGATGGGTTTTCCCAATTCAGTGCTCTTGGGGCAAAACCTGGCCGAAATCCTATTCTTGCTATGGCTTGCTTTTTTGAGAAATAGACTTCAGAAACATAATTGGAAGAGGATTCCATAGGGGATTGTAGAAAAAAATTCTAAAAAAGCTCAACGTTTGACCTATTTATGACCAAAAGCTAGAAGTCCATCTTTTTCTGAATGGACTGTAGTTGAACGTTTTTTCACCCTGAGGATGGGCCATGCCTGAAAATTTGGTGCGTTCAATTATTTATTTATTTTGAAGTGACGTATGCAGCGAAGAGACCGTATTTTGTAAAGTGTGAAAGTTCGAATTGAGGTACCCTAATAGTAATTACTTATCAGTGGCTGCAATGGAGTCTGCGAGTTCTTAGAAAAGTTACACTCTATGACGTATCCTAAATTTAATGTGTTGCTGCTCATGCTGGTGGTGTTTTTAAAAGACTGCCCAATGACTGCTCTGTGTTCTGTTTATGGTTTCCGTATTAGGGGCAAGCGGCAAAGGCAATGGCAACACAGTACTGAACAGTGTCAGCCCAGCAGGGAAGCTGCCCTACAGTGCCGACCAGCAGAGAGGTAACCATCCGTATCCTGGCTACAGCAGCAGCGGTGGCGGCGGCATGCAAACACATAGCAATGGGCAAATACAGGATATCGGTGCTTGTCCACGACTGATTCCGCGTGGAGATCGAGGGCGGGTAAGGCCGTAGTGAAGATGTACCATGTTGAAAATCAGGCTTGCTTTCCAAAACAGGCTTCTATGCCAGACAGGCTTTATATACAGTACACTGTGTTTGTGTGCCTATGTGTGTCAACTCAGTCGTGATCACTTCTGTCCTTCTGTGCAGTGGTGCAGTCACTTTTTTTGATGTGCTAATTCGAAGTACTTTTTTTACGGAAGCAAGTACCGGTTTTAATCGTTTTAAGATCGCCAACTACTTCTCAATGCGGGGTATGTTTATCTGTTTGTCTGCCTGTGTACATGTATTGTAAAGCGGCTAATGTTAGCGCCGGTAATGTTTTAGCGAAAGGAGTGTTTTCGCTTTTAAGTTTTTCCACGCCAGTCGAAATTTCGCATGTACAGTGCAGTATTGGTCAGCTCTTCTTTTTACTCTGAAACTTGAATCGCCGAATTATTTCACCGCAAAGTGGTCCTGATTCAGAAAGCGCTAAAAAGTTTACCGGCTAAAACTAGCCCCTCTACAGCATCTGTGTGTCTCTGTCAATCTGGGTATGTGTGCTTGGTTCACTGATATACTAGTACTCAGTACTCAGTACTACATTGTAGTAGTAGTAGTAGTAGTAGTAGTAGTAGTACAGTAAAACCTGGTCACGTAAGCAACCTCTGTGTTTAACGACCACCTGCTTCTAACGACCGTTTTTCCATGCATGGACAATTCTACACAAACTGCAACAAGGGACAGTGCAGGATGCGCTGCATGCACTTGAGTGTGACGTGCTTTGCTGGAGAAAGTATTCTATGCTCCACACCTGTCAATATGAGTACAGTTATGGAAGTACAATCATGCACATGACTGTATGTACACAATCCGATATGTCACAATGAATCAGACCTGGTTCCAAAGACCACCTGGCTAAAGGGGAAGTTAAGGCAAAAATTAAAATTTCACCAGTTGTAGTCTTCGGGGTGCTGAGTCGAATGGTCTTGGTCCGAGAAAGCTGAGACGCTCCCTTCCTACTTGAATCCCAATCGAACTCGCGCACTTCCACCGAAACTGGGTGACTGCGCCCTACTAGATGGGGATTTGTATGCAAAATGTCACTAAAAGCGCCATTTCGTTCTTATAAAAGCACGGATGACCGCGATTGGCCCATATGTTGTAGTCTTTTGGACGCTGAGTCGACTGGTTTTGGTCCGAAAAGGCTGCGATGCAGCGTTCCTCCTTTATTCCCAATCGAACAGGGTTGAACAAGCGGTCACGTGCTCCTGGGTGCCCAAATCACCTGGTCACCACGCCAGCAGGGTACAACTTTGACACCAAGGTTCAACTCGAGTGACAGGACTGCACCCAAAAAAGGTCAAACACGCTAGTAAGTTGTACCCTGCAGGCACGGTGACCAGGTGACTGGTGTACGCAGGAGCACGTGACCCCTTGTTCAACCATGTTCGATTGGGAATAAAGGAGGAACGCTGCATCGCAGCCTTTTCGGACCAAAACCAATCGACTCAGCGTCCAAAAGACTACAACATATGGGCCAATCGCGGTCATCCATACTTTTATAAGAATGAAATGGCGCTTTTAGTGACATTTTGCATACAAATCCCCATCTAGTAGGGCGCAGTCACCCAGTTTCGGTGGAAGTGCGCGAGTTCGATTGGGATTCAAGTAGGAAGGGAGCGTCTCAGCTTCCTCGGACCACGACCATTCGACTCAGCACCCCGAAGACTACAACTGGTGAAATTTTAATTTTTGCCTTAACTTCCCCTTTAACAACCACTTTTGCTTGCACCGTGGGTTGGTCGCTGAAGCCAGATTTTACTGTATGTTGTGTATTTGACTTGGCTGTTGATTGCTCATTAGGATACTGATAGTGTCATGCAAGGAGCCGGCGTGCAGCCTGGTTATGGCGCCGGACCTTCATCCCACAAGGATCCCATCACCAGCGGCCATGGACACCCGGCACCTAGGATACACTCGCCCCCTGCACCGCCACCACCAGCTGTGCAGCACCAGCACCCGGGAGTTCCCCCACCAGCGATCGAAGTGGACACAAAGCATCGTCCACAGGAAGACTGGTGAGTTTGCTGAGGCGGCTGTTCTTTTTCCTGAATCATTGATTGGCGTACCATTAAATCGTTCATTGGCATACAATTAAATTGTTCGCTTACATCCAGTCGATGTGTATGTTCCGAGTTCCGGGCAGTGTCTGGTCCCAACGTGCCCGGATAAGGGGAGTTCTACTGTCCGTGACAGACAAGGAATCAGTTCAGCCAATCTGAGCAGCTCAGCATTACAGTGAAGTCTTCTGATACAACCAGTCACCCGTATGCAATGTTGGTGTACACATACATGTATGCTATGGTGTCTCTGTGTCTGCGTAGGAATCACGGTGGCGGCGGACCAGCCGGCGCATCTGGCCCCTACGCCGGCCACAACATGCAGCATCGGCATCAGCAGCCAGTGCTGCCACCGTCTTCTGGAGCAGGCCGCCCACATCGTCCTGGGCACCTGGACCTGCCACACGCGCCACCAGCCCCGCCGTCGCAGCAATCATCGTCGACGATGAGCAGAGGCATGCAGTACCCGGGAATGCATCCGCACGCTCCACCGCATCCGCACGGACCGCCGCCGCCACCACACCACCGTTACATGCCCCGGCATGCGCACCCTGGCTACTCCCAGCAAATGGTGCCGCCACCGAATCACAACATGGCAATGGCGATGAGACAGCATCACATGATGTATCCGCAACGAGCGGTGAGTTGACCAGAGTTGACCAGTCCGCTGACAGAAGTGTGTGTGTGTGTGTGTGTGTGTGTGTGTGTGTGTGTGTGTGTGTGTGTGTGTGTGTGTGTGTGTACAGTGAAACTTGTCTAAGACGACCGCTCAAGGGACCTTCAAAGTGTGGTCTCTGTTACCAGGTAGCCTCCTTGTCCAGGGTCATTTGACTGGAAAGACCATCCCTTGGTACTGGTTGCAGTGGTCTTCTAGGACAGGTGGTCTCTTTATCTGAGTGGTCTCCTTGACAGGTTTCCTTGTACTTACTACTGAGTATGGGGATTGTGATGCTGACAGCTGCCAAGGTATGCTACTGTCTGTGGCCACTGAGTAGCACGACGTGGGTCTTGCTGGCACACTGCACTTGTTGGCTATCATCAAACCAGGACAGTATGCTGCATACTGGCGGTACGTTATGATGAGGTTTAGTGCACGCTATCACAGTAACTTTTAGTTATGCCCCGCCCCTGCAATTCAGTTGCCGTGCGGAGGAATTGACCGTTGCCTGCTCGGGTCACACCCACAGGTACACAGCCTATGTAGATACTGTTGAGTGTCTCGTCCTTATCTTTGTTCTCGTCCTTGTCCTCCTTCTCCTCTTCACTCTGATCCTGATCCTCGTTTTGCACACACACACACACACACACACCACACACACACACACACACCACACACACACACACACCACACACACACACACACACACACACACACACACACACGCACACACGCACACACGCACACACGCACACACACACACACACACACACACACACACACACACACACACACGTGCCATGTACATGCGACACATGTTGTTTATACTCTGCAGAATATGCCTATGATGATGGGTGGCGATCGCATGATGATGCACGGGCCCAACGCTATGCCCGACCCACCATACCGCAAGCCACAGCACATCAAAAAGCCGCTGAACGCCTTCATGTTGTTCATGAAGGAGCAGCGTCCTATAGTTGTTGCAAGTTGTTCACTGAAAGAGAGTGCTGCCATCAACCAGATCTTGGGCAAGATGGTAAGACTATCATGATGTATGCCACCAACTATCAGTTGGTACTGCCATGAGTGCACCCCTCTGACTAAATACTTCTAACATGTGTCCACGTACCAGGCACCGACAGTGCATGTACATGTAGAGTCAAGTTCGCTAATAACGACTGCGGATATAGCGACAATTCGCGAATAACGACAGAATTGCTATGCCCAGAGCAAAGTCCCATCCAACTGTAATACATATAATGAGACTTCGGGTATAACGACACTTTGTGAATAACGACACTTTTCTTATGCCCCGCCGCCGAGTGTCCTTATAAGCCAAGTTGACTGTATTGTACACTGCTGCTGACGCATTCTTTCAAAGTGCTGTACTAGTAGTTAGCAGTGGAGAGTGCTATGGTGAAGCTTGGATCCTAGTGCTACTACCGATGTGGTTAGATCCAAGGTTCACTGTATGTGCTGTGAGCGAGATGGCTCAACCAGTCAGTGTTTGCTTTCCAAGTCATTATTGACACTCTCGCTGGCGCAGGGACAGCTGTAGTGCAGTTACATTGCACTGCAAGTAGTATCCTCCGCTGCTAGTTCACCGAAAACATTGCAACTGTACACACTCACGCATCTTGAACCTTTTTATTCACGTTTATACTCGTCTCCCTCTCCAATAGTCTCTTGACTCAACATTTCCTTTCTTAGATAAAGGTATGGCAATGCTGTCCCACCTTGCAGTCTCTACTAGCTGATGACTCATTCCATTTGAGATGGGTGGGCTAGCATCTTTGCCTTGGCGGTGTTGCCCGGTTACATGCCGGCTAGGTGAATAGTAAAGTATAGCTTCCAGAACTTTTGGTTGTCGATATCCAGAGCACCAACAGGTGGCAGAAATGCACGATCTTGGATGTGACTGATCTCTCTCTCTGTCTGACTCCATTTTGCAGTGGCATAACCTGTCCCGAACCGAGCAAGGCAAGTACTACGAACTTGCCAGAGAAGAGCGCCAGCAGCATCAGCGCATGTACCCCAACTACAATCCCAGGGAGGCTTACAGCTCGATGGGCCCGCGCAAGGGACGCCGACCAAGAAGAGGTGACCATCTTCAGAACGGTACGTGCTAAGTTGGTGGGTGCGGGATGCCGCTGCACTGACTTGCAGCGAAATCGACCAACACAAAGACACAGATCTGAAGAGATCTAGGCTGCATTCGATTGTGGAGACTGGATCCCGATCCCCGCTGACCAGATCACTTCGATCAGACGGATTCAATCGAATGTGTACAGCTGATAATCCGTTTCAAAAACCTTAGCAACCATGTTGCTACAGCTCATCTCGTAGTATCTGTACGCATTATGGTGAACTCTTGACCTAGTGTACGCATACTGTGGAGTTTTGAGTAGATATGAGTGGCACCATGCAAATGAATCCGTCGAATCCGGCTCTGGGAGGTGGGTTGACTGGATCCGAATCCGTGCGCCCGTGATCCGGATTCGTACAATCGAACATGTACGAGTTTGGCGAATCCGGGTCCGGGGCTCACGGATTCGTACAATCGAACATGTACGAATTGGCGAATCCGGGTCCGGGGCTCACGGATTCGTACAATCGAACATGTACGAATTTGGCGAATCCGGGTCCGGGGCTCACGGATTCGTACAATGGAACATGCCCCTACAGTGGTGGCAACTGAAATCCAACCCCTGGTTTTCGTGCCCGAGTGCAGCACCGATTTTAGTGGCCTCCATTACGTAGTGCTACAAGCGCGTGCTAGGTCTTTGCAATGTGAACGCACCGAGCTGAGTCTTTGGAATGTGAACGCGCCGAGCTGGGGTTGGATTTCAATTGCCCCCCCCCCCCCCCCACCACTGTGCTAATGTTTGACGCCATGGAGAGCTGATGGGCATTAGCAAAATGCGAAGGATAGTTTGTGGCTGCTGGAGATGTACAAGTATATGGACTGTTTCAACGTGCATAGTCTGCTTGCTGCTTTTACTCCTTACTGCCAAGCTTACCATTTTAAACCAGAGCTCAACAAGACAGTGTTATCGTTTTGATGTAGGACGCGGAACTATCAATGCATCCCGATGCAAGTGTAATCAACATATGGGCCTCAACCAGCGAAAACAGCCCTTAGGGTCAACATTTTCAAAATTCCTTTTTGGTTAGAAATTTGTTGAACCACATCTACTGAAGGACCTCAGCCAAGAAAAAGTTCAATATTCCGATTCTAAACGGGTGTAGACACCAATATACAAGATGTACTCCAAATTGGTGCAATGTATGTATACAATGTATGTGTACAATGAATATTCAGCATTCGAAGGTGGGTGGGCAGCTTGAATACTTTTGAAATAGTGAAGTAAGCAGCTATAATGACAAAGAATAGCTAATGAGTGCGGAGAGATGATCGACATATTCGCAGCTTCATCCTGCGTGGAGTCGTTCCGCAATCTCGTCTTCCATTTCTTCCTCCGCAGCTGAAGACACGACGTCGCTGCCGTCACTAGCCCCAGACTCAGAATTTATCTCAGGTGACGACTCCTCATCTTCCGACTCTGACGAGTCATAGGCCACCTTGAGCCGCATCGCAGCAGGAGATGACGGCTGCGATCCGCCTCGCTGTCGACATCGATGTCGGAACCAAAGAACGTTTCATCCTCATTCTGAACTTCAGCGGCTACTTCAGCATCCCACTCCCCACCAGGCTCGAGCTAGCTGTAGACAATGACTGCCGTGTGTGCTCTGCGAACAGCTCTGGCGTCCGCAGCCATCGCAACAAGATCAAGGAACACTGGACTCGCCACTCGACACCTCTTCAACTTCAAAATAAATTACTTCAACTTCAAGCAAAGAGTTCAAATCAAGAAGTCGTCGCGCTGTTTGCAGCGCGATCAAAAAATCGTTGAACGTCACAAATCGACCTTTTTCTCGAAAAAATTACGAAATCTCTAAGGGTCGTTTTCGCTGATTGCGGCTCATATTTATTAGTCTCGGCTGTGCTGACAATACCCCACTGGTCTTGATGTTTCTTCTTTTCTACATCATGTGCATGTCAATTTAGATGAGGTTACCCAGCTGAAGAAGTGTCGGGCTCGCTATGGCCTCGACCACACGGAGAAATGGTGCAAACCATGCAGGTTAGTGGTGTGCAAGCCGGCTTCTGCTGGATTCCTGGCCACTCACTGTTGTCGGTCATGGTGCAGTGTGATTCGCACGGTGGAAAGAGGTCTTTTTTTCCGTGGAAGTTCCGAACATGGTGTTGTGGGACGATGTGTTATATCCCTGTGGGATGACATTCCCCAAAGTGTCTGTTGTCTCGCGTGCTTGTGTGATATGAGCATGCGTGATGTGTGAGTCTTCTTGTTCGCCCCTTTGTTCCGTCATGTCTTAGTTCTAGTACAGTCAGACCTTGCTTATCCGGTCCTCTATTATCCGGATCCCTCACCATCCGGAAGAAAATCGTTGGTTACCGATTTACAGCATATGCCATGCTTACATACAGTATGTGTGTTCGATTATCCGGTTCCCTCGCCTCTCCGGATATTTTTGTGGAAAACGGATGTGTGCAGTTATGCGAGGTCTGACTGTATGTCAATAATGACAGTATTATAAAAATGTAAAAACACAAATACTTGTCCTTTGTGTTCCTGCGTACCGGGGAACGGAATGGCCATGATTCCGTAACAATGGGTGTCATGGGAGTTAGGGCTGTCCTTTTTTCCACGCATCTACTCGTGTCCACTGCGTGTAGCTATGTTAGTAAAATGTGTTAACAACCAGCCATTGAATGGTGTTAACTGCTTAGAAACTCAGCCAGCTCTGGAAATTGGCACGTACCAGACCATTACTATAACTAACTGCTAGCTGTACCATACTACCATACTGGTGGCACATGCCGGGCTTAATTAACGATAACAGTTAGGTCTTCTACAAGCTCACCTCCGATATCTTTGCTCCTACAAGTATGAATTCCCCTTTCCCTCGACTTCCTGACCTTGAGGCCAGCTATCTGTGCTGGTATAGAGAGACTGTCATACTGTAAGACATGTGTTATTATAACGAGTCGCAAATTTAACGATTGTCCAAAATTCAGAGGTTAACGAGAAGATAATTGTGTGAACGATCTTGCAGTATTCCGGCATATCCACACACAACATATTATATGCAGCAGTACGACCTCAATGGATCTTATTATAACGAAGAAATGTCATTCATTAAAATGTTTACTTCCTCGTTATATATATACATGTCTTACAGTAGTTGTGTGTTCTCTCCCTATTTGCTGTTTGCTCGGCTTTCTGCAGACGGAAGAAGAAATGCACTAAGTTCACCAGCGCAGATGACAATGGCAGCGATGAGGAGGAGAGCGGTGAGAAGCGGGAGCGAGAGTCACGAGAACCCACCGGTGACAAGGAGGTCAGCGATGACGACGACGACGACTCGGACGAGAAGAGCATTGCCTCGGCAAACTCCTCGCACGACGAAGACGATTTCGACGAGGAGGACATGGTGCCGCACTATAACGATGAGGAGCCCACTGGAGTTCACACGCTCATTTCACCGGCTATGCAGACATCCGGTGGAATTGCTGTCTTGGCGAACCGCAACGCAACGTTTCCTATGGCTGACTACAACTCGACCGGCGGCAGTCTCTTCGGAGACCCAAGCTTGAAGTTCCCAGCAGCCGGCATGGCCGGCATTGCGGCAAGTACTACATCGTCTGCATTGTCCAGTGTTCCTCCAGCACTTCTCCTGCAAAGTAACGGCAACCTGCAGAAGGCGACGATGGGAGCCGCAGGAGCTGAGATGTGTCCTGCCGCTTCAACACCGGCGGAAGGAGACCGAGATACCACTGGTGCTGCCCCTCTCGTCGCACCGTCAGGGACAAACGGCATTAGCCAACACCTCTTGGCTGGCGCGAATACATTGAAAACACCTACAGCAAACACAACGTTAACACCCATGACGACGCCAGAAGGTGTAAAGCCCGAAGAAAGTGCAGAGGGCCTGGGGAAAGATCTCTCGCAAGGTGCCATGTCGCACACGACGGCTTCGTGTAGTTCGATGATTGACCTCCCGTCAAAAGCCGGTGCTCCCACAGCTGTTTTGAGTATGCCCGGTAATTGATGACTATACCAACCACTGCTATCGATAGCCATAGCAACCACCATCATTGGTGGCCGTGGCAACCATTGTCATTGGTGACCATGGCAACCATTGCCATTGATGACCATGGAAACCTGCGCCATGGATAGCCATAGCAACCACTGCTACTCAGCTGACCTATGATCATGCGAGCTACGCTCAATTTCGACATACTTCAGCATGTAGGCATATGTGCTTGAGTGAGTGGTTATTGCTGCAGTGCCTGTCTTCTACACAGATGATTAGTAGTACAACACGATACGATATTGTCTTCTGACATCAGCAACATGTGGACGCGCCAGTGTATCGTGACATGCGTACTGCCCTCTGGGCCAATGTTCAACGTGCCGCCGATAGCTGAAGGAAGCATCATCCTTGCTAATGCAGTGCTGTGTGTGTTCCTGATAGCCCATTGGTAGCCCGGGCCATTGGCTGAATGCACCAGACAACTGTCAGATTGTGTCTAGATTGTTTGACTGTTCCATTGGTCATTCCGCTATCCGTTCGATGATCGAGCTCTTTTTTTATGTTCAGTCACCTGTCACGGTTCTCTTTGAAAACTGTGAGTGAAATCTGTGACTGTGTGTGTGTGTGTATTGTTTGAGTTTTGAGAGAAAAAACTGTTCTATTTCAAATTTTCATAGAGACTATTCTGATTTATATCATCAGCATCGTCGCCATTACTCAAGTTTATGTCCTTCTCAGTGATGATATTGTAACGTTTACAAACGCCTCCTGCATGCACAATCATGTACAAGTACATCCATCACAGTGTCTAACGATAATCCGTCATCGAGTGCTGTTTTGTTTGTAAAGTGTTGTGTTGTTGGTGCTCGCAACTTCTAATATATTTCTCCAATTACCTGTCCCAGTCTCCTGCACCACAGTCCCAACGGCTGGCTCTCAATCTCACTATGATCTCTCTTCTATCTTACTAGTCTTCTATCTTACTAGTCTTCTATCTTACTCTTCTATCTTACTTCTGTTTCGGTGATGCTTGTCGCAGCTGGGCGGTGTGCAAGGGGTGGTTCGAATGGAGCCCTGTTCATGCCGAGTACACAACCATGTACACACTATGCAGGTCATGGCTGCGTTCTAGGCATCTACCATCTGATCGAAGGGTTGTGCCGCGGGCAGGCCGCATGGTGACCAGTCTTATTGTATCTTTTCACGGACACGATCATAGCAGTGCAGTGAGTGAGCATGCAGTCATTATTTTTATAATAATAATGATTGTATGTGAATAATCTGTGAATTCTTCTCCACTGGTCCCCGTCTCCAACGCCGCGTCTCATGGTCTGCTTGAGCGTGACCGAGATGGATCATTCCCGATACAGTCAGTACTACATTTGTAAAGACCCAGGGAGTAGTAACTTGAAATACGGTGTTTTTTATCCTGCCTTGTCTTTGGAATGGTCATCAATGATTGCAATGGCCACATCATGTCATACAACAACATACATCAGGAGTCATAGTAATCAATGACAAATTGACAATCTTGATGATGATCATTCACAGCATGGATTCAGTGGATACAGACTCAGTGGAGATTATTATACACTTTCTATAAAAAGTCATTGTGTGTCTTTAAAAATGTGGCTTGTGAAATACTGTGTTGTGCTCGTCACGTGTCAATGTCACTGCTTGTCAGTTGTCACCTCTCGTACGATCGTCTTGACCTTTCAAATTTCAAATCGTCGCCCACATGCAAAATATGCATGTGGGCGGCGTGCACGCGTGATGCCACTCAACAAGAAAGTCTTTGTTCTTCAAGCTAGCCAGGCCATACATATTAAACTTCGTCATAAGTGCACACGCGTGGCGCATCTCTATTTCAAATCGGCACAAGGGCCTGAAGCCTGCAAGGCTGACGTGTTGATTTTGGCCAGAATCATTTTTTCGTGCTTCAGCAGCTCGTCTTGAAAAGAAGTAGGTTGCCCTCGACGAAGTTAGTTAGTATCATTGCTGTTGAGCTGAGGTTTAGACTCACACATTATTTATTTGATCAAGTAATTGTAGGTAGCCTAGCCCACCTGGCAGTGCGCGGAAGTACAAGCCGGCATCAACAGGAAATATTTATCATTTTTGTTTCCGAACTGATGAGCGTTGGACATTTAGTTGTAGCTTTCCTATTCCCATTGTTCCCAAAGCTACGTGTATTTGTGGATAGGAGCTGACCAATGAAGCGCTGATCACTGGCTTGACTGTGCAATAGCTCTACCAGCTCGTCTCAAACAGAAGACAAAATACGATAATAATGCGTTGCAGGTTTATTGCTGATATGGCCACGTGCTGTCTAGTCACGTGGGTGCTGTTACTACTAGCGGTCGCACCGTATTGTGTATGTGAGGGAGATGAAGACCTGGGCGACTTATCCGGCCTGCTATCTCTGTTTGGCGGTGCCATGGGAGGCGCAGGAGGAAGTGGGTGTACGCACTCGTGTCCCAACGGCCATTCTCCGGTCGAACGGGCAGGCCACACGCCGCGTCACAACGGCTGCGGCACGGACTTCTTTCGCGTGGACGTCAGCGAGTACCCGGACTTTGAGAAGTGCTGCAACAAGCATGACATCTGCTACGATACCTGCGACGGTGGCTCGGCGTCGGGCCGGGGCGTGTGCGACAAGGACTTTGAGAAGTGCATGAAGAAGACGTGCACGCGCTATAAGAAAGCCGGTGTGTTGCGTGGAAAGGAAGTGTCCCAGTGCAAGTCGACGGCCGACATGATGTACGCCGGTGTGGTGGCGATGGGCTGTGATCCCTACCTCGAGTCCCAGCGTGATGCGTGCGAATGCAAGAGACCCAGCCTAGGTGGTCTGTAATTTTACACATGCCCGATCCATGTCTTATTCCCAAATTTGCCAACAACTAAACTTCATATAATTTATTTCGTTATAATCATGACAACAAAATAACGCTGAGCATGTTATCCCTTTGGTCCCGGAGAAACCATAGAATTATTTTTCTCAATTTCATAGTCAATCGCTACATTTTACGAAATTTGGGAAGAGCAGTTTTGGTTGTATGTATTTAAAACACCGGCAATATTGAGTGTGAAAGATAATACAGTACTACAGTCAACTGTTGACTTCATGACACTCATGGCACATGTTTCAGAAGTACTAGTATTTTTTAATTGAAGTTGATAATAGCACCTACCGTAGTAGATCAATAATAAGCAATCCTTTGTACTGTACATGGAAGCATGGATGCAGCGAATTGGATTTTCGGTCTTTGACCACTTGTCTTGGTGGTGGGTCTGATATACTCCCCCTCTTACTCACCGCTTTAGGAGCTGCATCTGCACCTTGATCCTTGAGGGTGGTGGCGTTCCTACGACTGCGGAAAACTCGGCCTCTAGCCGAGTCTCTTACGAACTGACAGTGATTTTTTTGTACACGCAGAGCGTTCACTGGCTGTAAGCCAGTCCCACTGACAAGTGAATGCTCCACATAGCAACATTACACACTTTACTGCAGAACGGCCAGTTTCAGCAGGTAACTTTTTTTTAGCATTTTCTGAATCTGGACCAATTCACGATGAAACATTTTAGCAATCCGAGTTTCAGAGTAAAACAGATGACTGCATTGTTCTAGTTGGACCAATCAACTTCATGCATTGTACAGTACTATACAATACTATACTGTACATCTTATACATTCCATTGGCGCGGCATTAAAAGCGAAAACACTCCTTTCGTTAAAACATCACTGGCGCTAAAATTAGCCGTTTTCCAATAATTCTCTAGACTTCCATGTTTGTGCTGCCA